CCAATACTTCTGCTGAGAAGAAAGCTACAGGAAGAGGCTCTGGTGCCAAGAGAAAGAGATGAGAGAAGCCAAATAGTTTTGGTTTTAAACAGGCAATTTTTTCCAAGAAATGTCTCTGAAATGTTCACGTTTGGCTACAAGGATTTGCGTCCTCTTTTTTTTTTTTTTCCTGGATTGGCGAATTAAGCTAGTGATTAGCTAGAAAAGGTTGAAATTTCTATATTCCTATCTTTTTCTCCGTCCCCGTTTGATTAGTTTTTACTATATCCCATATCTTTCATAAACCAAATTTAAGTATCTCGAACAATTATGAAAAATGATTATTCGTTTAATTCGAAGAGAAAATGGCAGAAACGGCTCATAAATGGGTTTTCAATGATGATTAGCCTAAAACATCCTAATCTGAAGGCACTGCATAAAGACTTATGCTAAAAATACTAATAGTTGGTACTCCAACTCTCACCTCTTCCGTCGTCCAACCATATATGTCAGACAATATGACAAATGTGTCATTCACCGCTTGTCTTTCTAGGTCTGCAAGTCTAACCTGCTCAGAGGCAAGATGAACAAATATTATTTCGGCTGTGACTTACCAATACAAGACATTGGACTAGCAATTAATAACTTCTCAATCCAAGAGTACAAACAACAACTCAGGGATTACCGTCTCTTCTTTAGCTAGCGTGCCACCTCCTAAGAAGTCGTATCCGCATGTACTCACCTCCACCAACACATGAGAATAAAGTTAGTCAAAGAATGTATTTTGAACCTTTTAAAGGTTCATTTAAAACTGAGCTTCGGTACAGGGCCACAGGAAATCATTCAACTAAATCGTTTAACTAGCGAGGATGTATGGATGAACATCTTTGGCTTTATGTTTTGGTAAAAATAAAAATTGAATGATGTTGGAGATATAGTTATTTTTAGACAGCAAAATCTCTGATGGACTTGGCCAAGTTTTTGAAGTAACATAAGTAGCATCATAATAGTAGCACTTGAGCAGATAATTGATAGAAATACGTAATGTGAGGGACAATGTGAATTTACAACAGACAGACCAACCAACCCACACTGTCTTTTACTCTCTTTTTGTAGTCTTTTTTGTTTGTGTTTAACACATAACACAGAAGAAGGCGTCTCTCATCTCTGAGACAGGAAGGCCTCCTTTTGGTCATATAACATATTTTATTAACTGAGAATCAGAAACTCTATAACATTAGCAATGGACCTTCTTCCTTCCTATGCTTCCACACTTTTGAAACTCCTGACTCGGTATACATAC